AGAATCAAAGTTTATAGTAATTTTATATGTTTTTTTTATAATTTTATATATATAAAAATTTACATGTGACAAATCGTATGACTGATAAGTTAAAAAAATCACTCTTGCTTTTAGGTAAAATGGAGAGAATTTCTGCTATCCTGAATCGACAATTCCTCCATCTAAAAATAGACATCGATACAAGGTGAAACTTCACCTACTTAATACTTAAACGGCTTGTTGAAATTAAACCTATTACTGATGGCCTTGTATAATCTCATTCAGACATAAAAGATGATTATTTAGTAACTAATGATTGGAATATGATAAATGAAATAATTGAATTTCTCAAACCTTTTTATACAGCAACTATGATATTGTCAAATGCTTCACAACTCTCTCAAGGATCTATGTGAATAATCATTCAAGGTTTTTTCTCATATTTCAATTATTATATTATACTTGATATACATCGAGATATGATTAAAAAAATGAAAGATAAGCTATATGAATATTGGGCTTATCTTTCTTAATCTTTAGCTATTCCTACTCTTTTCGATCTTTTAAACAAATTTGAAGCTTTCTATAAAACTGATCGTAAACTGTCTATTGACAAGTTAAAAAAAATTTATTCATCATATAGTTCTAATAATTTAGTGTCAAATAATTTAAAAACTGCCTTCAAATCAGATTAATTAAAAAGCTTATGTGATCAATCAACTGAGTTGGAGGAAGCTAATGAGCTAACAGTATATCTTTCTTTATCTTGTAAGCATGGTGCTGATCCACTTTTGTGGTAAAAAGTTAATGCTTCTCATTTTCCAACTCTAGCTTGCTTGGCAGCAAACTATCTTGCCTTGCAAGCTACTAGTGTTCCTTGTAAGAGAGCCTTTTCTGTTGCAAAGAACACTATTGATCTTACTAGAAATTGTCTTCTTGATCAAATGATAAGAGCTTCATTATGTTTGAAGAGCTGGTTGGAAACAGAAATTACTGAATTATAAAATAGTATATAGAATAGAATACAGTAAAATAGAAAAAAAAAAAATACTGTATCTTTTTGTTTTTTAAGGTTGGCTAAAGCGGAGTTAATTTTAGTTAGGGTTACCTTTTTGATGATGTTCTAAGGTTTTTTTTATATAAATATCAAGAGTATGAAATTAACACCGCTTTAACGACCTCCAAATATAGAAGTAATAAAGTTTATATTTTATCGTTAATCATGACTTCTGGAGTCGGATAAGTTTAAGTAGGTCATTTAACATCCCTAGACATTGGACATTGCAAAAATGGCCTTGGATATCACATTATGTACCTGTGTCTATAAAAAGTTAGGCACAAGCATAGACATGAAAACGATTTTGGGTCAAAATCCCGAACAACAGATTAAATTGGCCGGCATTATAGCTAGTGCCGGCCAACTTTGTCGTCTTTCGGGGATCCGTTTTCGGGATTTTGACCAAAATTCCTTTTGTGTTATGGGCTGGTGTCTCAATTCTATTAGTTGACGTGTGGCAATTACCTCCGTACTCTTATTGTTGGCCAATCAAATTTAGAATATTTTGTTCGTGTAACTCCTCTTGCGCAACATAATATACAGTACAAAGGATTAAGAGTTGAGAATAGTGCTTTTTGAACTACAAGTTTTATATCTTTCTGCAACAAAATGTCTGGTCGTCAAGGTATTTTTTTTGTTTGACCAACTAAAAAAATTAAAGCGTAATAAATTTTAAATAACTATATGTAGATTTAATCATTTATTTTTCATGATTCGTTAAATATAGGCGGCAAAATAAAACCACTTAAACAAAAAAAGAAAGCTTCAGCTGAATTAGATGAGGTTTTTATTCTGTCAAGATCTGTGTTTCTTTTCGTTATAACTCGGTGCAATTTACAACTCAATTTTTTACTTGAATATGATCGGAACGATGTTTAGCATGATTTAGAATTCAAGAAAAAGAAGCAAGAAGAACAAAAACAGTTAAAAGAATTAAAAGATAAAGCTAAACAAGGTGGTCCACTTGGTATGTTAACATTTATCATTTTTATTTTTATTTTTTGGAATATATTATCGTAATTCTAACTTCACAACTACAGGTGGGGGTGGTATCAAAAAATCTGGAGGCAAAAAGTAAACCCGCGGTATAATTGTTTTACGGTTTTACGTATCCATGGAAAACGTTATCCGACCAATAAAGTTGATTTAATCCTGAAAATGAATACTTTTTTTTTTATTTAACCATCAGAATCGATTACATAAATTAATACTATATATGCCTACAGCATAAAATGATAGGCAACCTGTCTTACTCGATAATAAATATGAATCTATAGGTTAATTTGAATAAAAATCAGTTACTAAATTCTGACCCATTCCTTGCCTTCATCATCCAACAAATTTTCTTTTTTTAAAAATTCTCCGATAGTTTCAAAATATCCTGGCTGATAAGTAGTATCATTATGGAGACCATTATCAAATCTTTTAAATTCTTTGGTTCTTGTTTGTGACAATTCGAATAAATCTGCCATGTGAGCTGGCGGTACTATTTCGTCACGCGCCCCTGATAAGAATAATATTGGTGTATGTACTATTTGTTGTATTGAAGTTTCCGAAGGCCAAATTTGATGGCATAAGAATGATAAATATTTCAATTGAGGCATGATATAAGGTATCACTTTTGGCTGTTTTTAAAGAATGAAATTATCAAATTATGTGAATGCTATTTGATATTCGTAAATATAAATGACTAGATTTCGTCAAAATTTTTCACTTACAATACTTAAAAATGTGTTTTCTAAAATCATAGCGCTGAACTAAATTTAATAAAACTTTTTAAGTCTAAATGTTTAGAAAACTGTAGTATAAATAAAAATAAAATACTATATATCATACTTTATCTTCATTTCTCGAAACCAAATCAATCGATATAGCACCACCAAGTGATTGTCCATACGTTATAAGTTTGGTATTCTTTAAATCATCATCTTGCAATACATACTCCAGAAGAGTCTATATAATTGTTAATAAACTGAATAATTATAATGATAAAGCTTAGATATATGATGCAAACATCATTAACTTACTTGTGCATCAATTCGAATACCTTTTTCAGAGGGCCTACCTTCACTCAGACCATATCTATGCCAATTTCCAATGATAATTTAATAACACATATTTTCCAAATTCAGACTATTAAAAGTAATAAGCATTACCCTCTATAAGAAATCAAACACACATTACATTTGAATTGAGAGTAAAATATTTGAGCAATTGGCAATCTATGTCCCTTGAATGATTTGAAGTTTTTTAATGAAGCAATAATACGCAAATAAATTGTAAAATAAAATAAAACTAAGATGATTATGTACCATGTTTCCAGCATTTGCCTACATAAGATAACAAATCAAAAAATAAACAGTATATTCGGAACAAAAAAAAAATTGAAGAGAATAAAAATTGTAAACTAATGGCTAAGCCAAACCACACCATTGATTACAATAAATAAAAAATATTATCATGAGAGAAAACTTACATGAAAAAATAAAATCGTGGGCCTACTTGCTGCATCTTGAGGTAATTTACAAATATAGACTCTAATATTTACACCATCCTTGGTAGATAATATTTCTTCAGTATATTGCATTCCAAATTCAGATGGTTTTGCTACCTGCAATAGATCATTCACAAAATTCATTATTATTTTTATAATAAAGAATCGAAACAAAAAGGAGAAACACTTTTTTCAGAAACGATAAACTGTAATGTTAATATATAAATCATACAATATGTCTCGACCCTTCTGGAAATTTTGCAGGATAAATCAATTCACATTGAAAAGCATATAATAAGCTTGCTGAGACCAGTACAAACAAACCAGTACTGGTCATCAGAAATTGTAAATATGTTGGTATATAATCTGGTAAAAAAAGCATTTTTTCCAAATGATAACGTAAGGTTATCAGAGAAAAGTTTATATATAACAAGGTAATATTACTTTAAAAAGGCGCTAAAAGAAAGGTGGGCTCAGATATAACGCGAAAAACCGAAGAAGCCCGAAGAGCGTGTATCTGGTATATATATGTGCAACGTACGTACGTATGTTATAACAGATACTAAATTTAAGCCACCTGATTGATGTTTATCGAATTACTACGCATTGAATCTAACCATGAGATAATCTAATGTTATTTATCTATTTATGTAAACATGTAGGTGGGATAAGTGTCATATCTCCTAAATACCCTGTGTTGCCATGTGTTGATGTTACATATAGTGTCACTTTTTATTTTTTATTTTTTTACTAAAGAGATTCGTCAGGAAGGTACAGTCAACTCTGTCTATTCCGATTTGTCCATTCTTATATGTAAAATGAGTTTTAAAGTTCGGTTCTCAAAGAGGTAATATGCTAATCCGAACTTTATAATAAAATTTACAAATCTCTTAGTTTTAAGTTCGGATTAGAGAGGTTCGGATTAGAGAGAGTTGACTGTACATAAGAAATATTGTTCTATAATTTAGAGATTGGAATTGATGCATTCATTCGGTTCAAGAATGACCGTCCTAAATTAGGAAGAAATTTTAAATTAAAAATTTAAAGTTCAAGGTATCTTCAACTATCGTTATAGAGTAAATCATGTCTATTAACTTGGATCAATTGCTAAATTAACTATCATTATTTATATAAACCTTCCATAACTTTTTTTATTTGATATATATACACGTGTGTCTGCACGTTGATCCGGATTATTTTAAATCCATATAGTCACGCTATTTGCCTAAAATTTCAGACGTTAGTAGCTCACCCACAAAAAATTTTCCGGTCATGTGACTTTTTTATGGCACTAGCCAATTATTTTTCGAGA